TCTGCTGGACAACCTGAAAAATATCCTTGTGTCTACCCCTGATAACAACGACGACGACGACGACGACGACGTTTACATTTTTTATAACAGGGTGGTTTTAAAAAATACAGCAATCCACTTTGTCACTAGGAATAGCTATACACCTATCAGTCTGCTCAAATTAAACTAATTTTTCAAACTGAGACCAATCAAACTGTTATTCATAACAGGTAAGAATGAATGAATGAATGAATGAATGAATGAATGAATGAATGAATGAATGAATGATACTTTATTGATCCTATGAAGGGAAATTACAGTTCAGAACAACCCATTCAAGAGTAAAATAGACAAAACACAATAGACTTGGAGAACAGGTGCCCCAGGTCYAGCAGCCWTWAGAGGTAGTAACTTTCCCATTAAACCACACTTTACCAAGACATGAACTATGACTTTAATGGTTTGTGACTGCTTAATGACATCTTGAAAATCCCATCTCAGTGTGACGACTTGTCACAGATTGTTTAATTGTGTGTACATTCATTAATTATCTTGCGCCTCTTCAGTGACCTTTTGGGCATTCCCGAACCCAAGTGACAAAAGCTATTAGTATGGCTTATTTCTGTGGGCCACAGACCTCCTTTGTTGTCTATTTAAACACATATCAATGAGCTACATCGTCCCTCTGGGTTACACATACTCATTATGATGCACATGGGAACTGTAGTTCATTTTCAGCCCATACAGCATCCAGTTTCTGTAAATAGTGGTGCATAATCATTTTYAATGCTCAGCCAAACACACACAAGGTTTTTTTTATTTCTGCTATTCAAGCAGCTAATTTAAAATGGCCAAGCTAGATAATGTTAGATATTCTTTCATTGCAAATGACCTTGACAAATCAGTTTATTAGATGACTTTCTTTTTTTGTGCTATACTGTTTTGGTGCCTTTTAGATCAGGCAGAAGTTAATTTACGCTCCATTGTTTGTCCAACACTGAGTCTGCTGGCAAAGTGTTACATGAGTGGCCTATGAACAACTGTGACATTATAAATGATATAATACACAGTTTAACTTGGAAAATATGAAAGTACTCACTAAAAACAAAACCTTTTTGTGAGGATTTGGCATGAACAGATCCAGGGTGCAGGCAGGTTCCAAAAGTTGAACAAAAATTTATTTTAAATAACAAAAATGCTGTAGAGACTGCTGAACTTACAGGAGGCACGAGGATCACACAGGCAGGGGGAACAAMGCACAGAGAACCATGACAAACAAAAATGATCCGACACAAGACTGAGACAGGACAGGGCTTAAATACACAGAAAACTAATTACTAAAAGGGGAGAAACACAAGGGTGACAATCAAGGAAATGTGGGGCAGCTGGGCTGAGAAACACAGGGGAACACTGAAAACACTAGAAAACTAAGAAAAATAAACACAGACCATGACACTTTTAAGCAGGTAGAATTCCTAAATTTGGGGGAATTGCTTCTATTGAAATTGCTGCAACATAGAAAGCAACACAGTGTTACTGTAAACACAGTGTTAAAATAAAAAGAATTAAATACATAATGTAAAATACTGTTGATTAGGCTATCTTCCAAGCTTTAAAGTGGTTCTGTAAAATATGAAATAATACAATTTTACTAAAAACTACAGCATCAAGTTGACTCCAAAAATATTCAAGCTTTGCTCTTTCTCCACCAACCCTCTATTACCTTTTTAAATACCTTTAAAATATGAAAAATGCTGCCGTGCAACTGCAAATTAATTTGATTTAACAACTGTAATTTCATAAACACCATTTTGGGCTTTTGTAAACCCAAAGGTTGCCTCATGATTAAATCAAATATTTTTTAAAAAAAGTACAGTTTCTGGAGGAAATTACTATTGCCTGTCGTCCTGCATGCTTAAAGTTTAAACAAAAACTATACCATGTTCTGTGCTAGTACTACATCAGATGTGAGCTCATTTACTTAGAAAATGAGTTATAATTATTATTGTGCTTGTTAAAGTTGATAAGCTGTGGTGGCAATTTTGAATCATGTTGACTCCAAATTAATCTGACATAGAAGTACATCCAAAAATTACATTCTGTGAGTTTCATTAAAATCTGTCTATTACTTCACAAGACAGATACACACAAACATTGCTTTTTGTGGCAGTACAATAATTATTCTATATTGATCAACAGCACATTTTCCACAGGCTCCCATCAGTGATTTACTTATGAAAGCCCAAACAATCTTGACTTTTTGGCTTGACCGCGCCAATAAATGTTTAATAATGTATCCTGATGCATCTCAGTAATACAGGTAAAAAATCAAAAAGAAAAAAATTGTATAGGTCTTCTGGACGGGTTCTTCTCTAATGAAAGGTTTCGTCTCTCTTCCAAGAGACTTCTTCAGTCTGAGAGTTTCAGGCAACATTCAGGCTTTTAAGCCCTGCCTCCATGTGACTGATACTCACATCACATGGCTATCGTTGACACCTAATTAACACCTATTGTTAACTGGGGTGGAGTGATACTGGCAATAGCAGCACTGTAGGAGGGGGACAACTGAAAGCGGAGGCCTCCACCTCTTTTTAATGATGGACGGTCTTTCTTCCCCGGCACSAACAGAGCAATGTTGTATATGCTGTTAAGTGCCAGGAGGACTGCGACCAGTTATACATCGGGGAAACAAAGCAGCCACTGTTCAAAAGAATGTCCCAACACAGACGAGCTACATCTAATGGCCAGAACTCTGCAGTTTTCACTCATTTACAGGCCAGCGGTCACTCTTTCAGAGATGAGGATGTTCTCATTCTTGATAGGAAGGAACGTTGGTTTGAGAGAGGAGTAAAAGAAGCCATTTTTGTGAAGAAAGACCATCCATCATTAAACAGAGGTGGAGGCCTCCGTTTTCAGTTGTCCCCCTCCTACAGTGCTGCTATTGCCAGTATCACTCCACCCCCTGTTAACAATAGGTGTTAGTTAGGTGTCAACGATAGCCATGTGATGTGAGTATCAGTCACATGGAGGCAGGGCTTAAAAGCCTGAATTTTGCCTGAAACTCTCAGACTGAAGAAGTCTCTTGGAGGAGAGACGAAACGTTTCATTAGAGAAGAACCCGTCCAGAGGACCWATACAACTTTTTTTCTTTTTGTTTAATAATGTACTGCAAATGCTAGAAAATCCTTGTCATGAGCTCTGATAAGATCCAGGATTCAGAAATCAGCTTTGGTTTCTCCGTAGTTTTTATTTTATGTTTTACACTAGCAGTATTCTTTTTTTTTTGTTTCCGCTATTCAAGACAAAAATGTGCTCAGTCATGCTGTTGACATCATGTTTCACTCATGAAATAACTTCTATCACATCAAAACATCTTTAAACAACCTGACAGGACTCTTTATAGTAGCTCTCYGACTGGAAACAATCTGACTTTGGTTTGATAGCCCAGGGTAGCACAGGGAAGTCTGGAAGTGTTTGAAAAACTGAGGATGTTTTTCATGAGATTTGCTGGCAGTTAAAGAGTTGGTGGTGGGGTATTATGCAAAAGGGACCCTTTTTTAGCTTTATTTCATGCTACAATTTCATTCTCTCATAAAACACCTACCCAGAGTATTGCTTTGAGTCACTCATGCATGTTTGAGAAATCCTTGAATCTCCTGTGGTAGACATGTGGAGCTGCCTAAACACTTCCTGGTACAAAATCTGGAACTCAGTTTTCAGCCGAGCTCCCATCCCACTGAGCTCTCCTCCTTAACTCCTCCCCCACACAGCTCCGTCAAACGCCATCAATCTGTTGATTTTGTATAACTACTTTCAGTCCAGTCTTTCATTGAGGAAATGTATTATTATATGCTAAGGAGACTACCTTCTTTTTACGACTCCAAAGGATAACACAGTTTATCAAAAATTTGTTGGACGTTTCAACTACAAAAGATTGTAAACAGCATGAAGCAATGTTGGGCAGACGTGCTGAAGTAGGAGTACTGGAAACGGTAGGAGGTTCTTAAAGAGACAGATGCCAATAATTTCAAGGCCTTTAGCTCAAAATGATTTTTGATATACTGTATACAGCATTTTCATAACAACTGAAGGTAACATAGTTACTTCATTGTGATATAGAATTGAACTACGAGCCTGGAAAATACATCCCCCACCACCACCACCTTTAAAAACATAAAATAACACCAGCCATATTTTATAATATTTTAGTAGCTGGTAACAAGATAGATGAAATGTAAAGCAATGTGTAATGAAAAAAAAAAAAACATACATAGAAGGTTTCGTTCCTCCACAAATTCTTCGTCATCTGTAATGTAAAAAGTACGTATGTGGAGGAAATTCAACACATTCCAAAGACTGAATAATGAAGGTTCAAATCTTGGGCTCTTCGCAAACTCAGTGATTTGTCCAACAAGAGGATTCAGTTGTGTGAGTCCATCTGCAACCAACCCAAACTCCTTCTCCTCCATCTCTCTGGCACAGGGGTAGGCAATCCTGGTCCTCAAGTGCCGCTGTCCTGCATGTTTTACTTGTTTCCCTGCTCCAACACACCTGATTCCAAGATTGAATTACCAAGTTCTGCAGAAGCCTGTTAATCACCCTTCATTCAGATCAGGTGTATTGGTGCAAAGAAACATGTAAAACATGCAGGACAGCGGCACTCGAGGACCAGGATTGCCTGTCCCCGTGCTAGCATCATTCCCATCTCATCATTTTTTTCAACTTCATTACAAAAATTTCTTCATTTATTCCAAACACCACAACAAACCCACATTCAGCAGACTCAATTACTTTGGTAGTGAGACAGACAGCATGTGTGCACCACATCAACAAGGACTAAAAAAAAGGTCAATTTTTCACAGTCCTCCTTGTGTTTTTCCACTCTGCTTCATTTAGAGTGCATGTGGCAATCAGCAGTGCTCATTACACCTAGGTGCCCTATAAAGATGCCCCAGAAAGAATGTCCTTGCTGAAGGGGGGGGAGATGAAGGGAAAAAAAGATAAGAGGAAAATGTGCTTACCGAGGACTCCGACGCGATAGTTGAGCGTGATAACAATGACGTTCCCGTAGCTGGCTAGGACGCTCCCGTCGATCATGTTGCCCGTCCCCTCCATGTAGGACCCTCCGTGGATGTAGACCATCACGGGCTTGGCCCCGGTGTCTCGTATGTCTGCAAGAGTGGCCATCATTAACACATTCACATTGTCGTCTGCCCACTCTGATCAAGGGTCAGCTCAGACAGAAAGCGTCATTTTACAGCACACAGAGGAGGCCACAAACAGACAGTCTCCCTCCCAGATACCAGCTGGAATCACACACAGCCCTTCTAATGAGAATGGATGTAATTTTCGATCATATCTGCTCTATGAGAAACAAATTAGCATCCACTTGAGTTTAACTCTATTACGGTAATAGGCCATCTTAGCTTAAAAAAATAGATAAATAAAAACATTGGTTGGTCATTTAYGTCACACACACCACAATATTAGGGTTGGATCTGGTGGTGCGTTGCCTTCCAGGGAGCAAAGCCACTTCCTAATATAGACATGCACAAAGCCATTAGGAAGAATAAAGAGAGAGGTACTCTGACACATCTTCTACACAAAGAGGAGGCTAATCTGGCTTGACAGTGATGGGGGGAGGGAGGGGGGGGGGGCGCAGGAGCTAATTAAACAACATTACCTTTTTTCTTACAAAGGCCTATTGTGCTGCAGCATTTTAGTTGTGCAGTTTTGCTTGTGGGGGGCGGGGGTGGACTGCTGGCAGTTAAGGGTCTGTTTCAGTTTTGGTTTATATGAAACAAAATAAAAATGTATTGTTTTTTTTTATTTAACTCCCAAAGAAGGGTTTGATACCCAGCTGGGGCCACTCTCCAGCCAGATAAAGCACATCCAGAGGCAGAGGGAAGAAAAAAGCCTCTGTCTGAGGAATAGACTGAATTACTGACTGGTGAGCTGGAGCTGGGAGACAAGACAAGAAACTCTCTCTTATTTACACTCCCTGCACC